TCTTCACTATGAGGGTGGTGAGGCACTGGAACAGGTTGCCCAGAGAAGTTGTGGATGCCCCATCCCTGGAAGCGTTCAAGGTCAGGTTGGATGGGGCTTTGAGCAACGTGGTCTAGTGGAAGGTGTCCCTCCCCATGGCAGGGGGGTTGGAACTAGATGAATTTTATTTAAGGTCCCAACCCAAACCATTCTATGATATAACAACCCTCATTCCCTTACTTTAAGTTAGTAAGTAGCCTCTCTACTCATCTGCCCTTCCCAGGTTCTGTTCTACTCTTAGAATATCTGAAGTCATATTACACAATATTTCACTGCTGAATAACTACAGTTAAAAAGATGGGGTACTTACACAACCCTCATTCCCTTACTTTAAGTTAGTAAGTAGCCTCTCTACTCATCTGCCCTTCCCAGGTTCTGTTCTACTCTTAGAATATCTGAAGTCATATTACACAATATTTCACTGCTGAATAACTACAGTTAAAAAGATGGGGTACTGAATGAAAGCCATCCAAGAACAAAACCAGTTCGAGTAGATCCAGTGATATAGATCAAATTCATTAACATCACAGCACCCCTATCTCCATCAGGAATATCCTTCTGCTATCAAGGCTACCAAACCTACAAAATGAATCATTTTTTGTCCTTGTCCCAAAGTTTAACAGAACTGGCAAGAGACATTTTATTTCTCCATATCTTACCAGGGGAAAAAAATATCAGTCCAAATTAAAGGCAACCTAATGTTTAATCTGCTGGCACCAACTTCTGCAATATTTTCAGCCTGTCAGTGACGCTGATCCTGCCCACAAGGCCAGGAACTTACACTCCTCATATTGACCATCTATACTGCAAAAACAGATTATCTGCCTGAACATGAGCAATTTAAGAAACGCGCAGTTGAATTTTATATTTTGTTTCTCTACAGAAAACTAAAGAGTATTTTCAAAGATATACCTTCAAATAATCATCTTACCTGCATTATCAGTTGTGAACATAGGTACTCTTCAATGTTTGCTGTTTGATACACCTTTGCCATAACTGTTGTTTTTTCCAAAGACTCTCATGCTTTCTCCAGTCTCTGGCTGTAATCTTACATTCGGTACAGTAAAAATAGAAGACACTGCAAAAAAGAGTGTCAGTTCAGAAACTTTGATTTTTTTCTGCAAAAGTAGTGATTTAAAAATAATTAGTTAACATATATGGCAAACACAACACTGAGTAAATATATACAGCTTTTATATATACAACCTATTTATGCAAGCAAGCACTGTAAAAATTCCGACTGGAAAGAACCTGCATGCATGATGATGGAAGATGTATGATGCAAACATTCTCAGTTGCATTCATCTAAAAAAACCTGTTTCCAGGGGGTGTATGTGTGTGTTTGCTTGTCCTTACACCGCTATATAATTCATATTTTACATTTTAATATTTCTCTGATAGCATTTAGAAATAAATAAGAATGTGAAAAAATGCAGCAAGGTTTTTCAATAATTTGACATCATGTATTACATCGTCAAAATCCTGATGCCAGTATAACTGAGATATTTTGTTTTACTTCATTTTATTAACTATTAAAGACAACTAGGCTTGGTAAAAATATCCCAACAACTCAGAAAGTTTTTACATAAAGCAACCCCCTTCTGCATGAGCTAGAAAAACCTTGAAGATTTCCACATAACACCAGGCAACTAATTATTCGAAGACACGATGATATTAATCACAGGGATCAAACTGAAAATGGTTAAGGACTCGCACATTGATGATACGAAAACTCATTTTTACTTAAGGTGCCTCAAACTGGTGGGGAAAAATCACTGACTTTTAATACCTTCTGAGAACAAATGTCCATATAAAAATATCCTTGGACAGCTGCTGCTGCATGATTGCATGAGAAAATGATAATAGACTACCTTTAAAGACCCGATCAGGGCCGGAACAGTTTTCTTTGTTTTCACACTAACAACTAGCATAGCTGTAAGTTTTTGGAACTACTCTTTCATTTTTATGCATTTAAAAGACCTAGCTATTTTTTTATGCACAAGATCTTCCCACTGTATTTTTGACATCTCAACTTGCATTTGATATTCTGCTGTCCTTGGTAACATACATTATGAATGGCAGATATTCTATGCAAATAAATCAATATGAGCTCTCAAATATGAAAGCAGAAAAGGGGGAGGACTGATTTTTTCTTTTTTCAATAGAATATCAAGTACACATATTTAGTAAAAGCAGTTAATCTATAGATTACTGCTCAGGTCTGAGATGAATGAAGGCTATGTTTCTTCTTCAACTGTATTGTATTCCCAGACAATATTTTTTAGCAGAATTGCACAACTCTTACCTTTTTAATGTAATATTTTTAAAAACTGAAAGTGGCTAGATGGTAGACAGAGCACATCTGGAAACTGAATTTCTAACTCAATTGAAATGATGCCTTGACTTTAAACAAAACTGAATCAAAAATCAAAATTTTGCTTCTCACATAAACTCATTTTGCATACTTTTTAAAAATAAAACACAAGATCAAAATGTTATCCTGTAAAATATTACATAGAATATAAATTCATAGTACTAAATTCAAAACAAGACGAGAAAGTGAAACACTTTTTTTTTACTTTTTCAATGTAGGCAGAGTCACCATACTTTTGTGAAATACTGTGATTCCAAAGAAATAGTATTTTCTGATAGAAAATCATTTGACTGATTTTTTTTTTCCTCTCTTTCTTTCTTCTTCCTCACCTGAGAGTCTTTCCTTGGTTTTTAGTGCTAAATCCCCAAATTTGCAATTCAGCACTAGGAGTAAATTGGACAAAACATATTCCATGATGAATACATCAGAGATTTGTAAAATCGCAGTGGTGTCTTGACTAGGAGGCAGTAGATTTTGTGTGTACACACAGTTCTGTTGTGCATAGAGTCTCAATGTATTTATACCTACATTTAATTAACTATCAGTAGCAAGTCCTTCCCAATGTAAAATATTAACCCAGAGAACTAGAGTCACAAAAACTGGTAATTTCACTACACAGTAAACATTTTCCCAACTCTCCAAAGTATGACTTCTTTGTTTTGTAAATATGTTTACAAGTATATCCAAGTCATACTAAATAGAAATGATTGTAGTATTTGATACTGGGATTGTCCCTTCTCGCATCTGGATTTATGCTTCATAATGATTATCTACTAAACACAGAAATAGTCTTTCTGTAACTCAAAATTTTACTGGAGGCATTTAGAAGAACCTTGCTTTAAAATATAATGATTTTTCATCTTTATTCTCCCCCCTTCAAAAGGTTTCACTGCTCCTGATGTTTAACGTTATGCAAAGACGTGTTTCTGCCAATGAATATCGCCTTATGGTTATGCTTCTGCAAATAACCTGCTGTGAGCTGATAAAAGGATTAATGCAGCCAAAATTCTTAATCTGTGAAATTACAAATTAAATTCTCATATTAAAAATACCACCCTGAGGTATTTTTTGTGGTTTTAATTCCCCTCTGGTGTTCTGCATACATTGTGCTTGTTAATGACTAGGACAAGACTGTCTCTGTTGGCAGCCTGCTGCAGAGTGATAATGTGTAGGCATTTACTTCACTGATAGAACTGGATTTAACCACTGACTGATAAACTAAGTGGCAAGTGGGTAATAAGTCCATATTAACAGAAAAGTACTACTGCAGAATTCAGAATTCAAAATCCTGGCTAGACTAAATCACACAGTCAGAAGGATTGAGATGTCACCGCTGCAGAGTGATTTTTGTTTTCCATTCAGTGGAAAAAGGATAAATGAACTGGCATTCTTGATGTTTCATTAGTCCTGAGGAAATGAATCTTTTTGCATCAGTTTCAGCAAAGACAGACTTTCAACAGCAGCCTCAATTTACACTGCATCCTTTGAATTTTCAGCTTATAAAGTACTGCAGTCAGCAAACTGAGTGGTGGGTTAGCATGGCAGAGGAGGAAACCGGGAATCTTTTTGCAGAGCAAGGACACAGTCTATGACACAGACGGTGACAGACAAAAATTAATGGTGCTAGTTTGATTTTAATGTTCATATTCTACAAATGGGAGAGCGCTCTTCAGGGCAGAGTCGGGAGTAGGGTACTTGGACAGCCAGGCCACAGAACCAGCTCAAAATATGACTACTACAGCTGTAGAGGATGGAAAAGATAAACTTTAGGAAGACAAAAGTTTTCATACTGACACTGATGTAAACAGAATCTATTGTGGATTAATATTCAGAAAGGGAGCTCAGTTTTTACAAGCAAACTTTTAAATCAGCCATAGTTACACACACACACACGTGCCATTGTTGCATCTCTGAACTTTCTGCCTCCAAGTACTGTATTTAGATCTTTTGCTAATGGATGTATGCTTGAAAACAGAAAATAACATACACTGTTCTAATGCAAGCATGCTTCTCTTTACCACATTGAGTTAAAGCAAAATGCTGATTGTTATTCCCCTGTGAAACCTATTTTTAATAAGAGAACCTTCTCTGAATCAAAAACATCATGCATGATAATGTTTTTCCCCAGAATAAACAGTAGTGTGCTTTTAACACTGGAAAAAGATATGAACACATATGATATAAATGATTTACAATTATTAAAGAGATAATTGACAGCATATATGATGATAGGAATATTTTTGCCAAGTCAACTGGAATGCATTTTGTTTAATAAAAGAAATAAAAAGATGCATGTAAATACTGAAAGCATTCTTAGTTAATAATACCATCTGCCATCCTCTTCTTACACAGTCTAATTCAGCAAATTAACTGATTGTCTGCTTTGTGTTTCTCAGACTTCCGAATGCCGAGTCCTTTCTTAAAGGTTACTGTTATAACAGATACAGATTCTGTGAATCAAACACGGCTGGATTTTTATCCTATATGCTGCAGCTAGTTAAGAAGTACTTTATGTTATAAAGTGAAAAGCACTAAGTATGTAAATTGTATTTTTCCTTTTGCTTTATGACAATTCAGATAATTCTCTTGGCTGCACACATAATCAAATACAAAGATAGCTGGCTGCAGACTGCAGAGCAGAGATAGCAAAAAAAAAAAAAAAAGAATTCATTTTTTCCTCTGTCAAGCTAACTATGTAATTTCAAGCTACACAATTGCACTCACGTATTTTGTGTGTGGCTGTGTAGGTCCATGAAGCTGTCTGCATGTGAGGGTTAGCATACACACGTGCATCTGTATGAACTAGCGTCTCTAAAAGAATTCTTTTTCCTGTGTCAAGCTAACTATGTAATTTCAAGCTACACAATTGCACTCACGTATTTTGTGTGTGGCTGTGTAGGTCCATGAAGCTGTCTGCATGTGAGGGTTAGCATACACACGTGCATCTGTATGAACTAGCGTCTCTGTTTTTAATTGATTTGGAGGTGGTTATACTCACTATCAGTTAACTCCCATAGCCGTGGGGGCAGATCACTGAAATACTCATGGCTCAGGGCTGCCTGTGCTGACAATCTGTTCTTTGGGAAACACTGGAGTAGTTTGGAGGCTAGATCTTCTGCGTGATTCACATAGCTCAGCCTGAAACACAAACAAGAAGGTTTTTCTGTAAAACAATCTCATTATTCTGTTTACTAATTCCACCTGCAGTCAGCACAGTTGAAACACCAGGTCTTGCCAGCCAGGATAAAGACAAAGTCTGTTTGGGAGCACTACCAGGAAAGATATTCCTCAGGTTAGGGAGTCAATACATTATTTCTGCATTGACAGCTCAAAATTCATATAAATTTTACAAATATAGAGCATAAAATATACCATATCACATATGCCCTGCCTAGTACACTAAAAGATCATGAGCAACGGGATTTTGAAAGCAACGGTTTTGATTCTTCCATTTACATTTTATTGAGCATAGTGACAGACTGAAAATTTACAGCGCTGGAAACAAATGGTTATTACTATCTAACTAAACCCATGAAATCCAAGCTTAAAATAATGGCAGTATTCATACAACTTTGTGAAGTATCAAATTTTAAAATCCAGTGATGCTTAACACACAACATATGCATCATGTTTCTTGAAGACATTTGTCTTTCAGGAAGTACTGACTTCTTATTTTTTCACATATTCACACGGCAGGCCGCTGACTCTTCATTAGGTGTTAATGCAATGCAAACATTACGTTGTAAGTAAGTGAATTATCTCTTCTAAGCTACCCAGGGAAGTCTGAGAAAACTCATTGTTTTACTGGGAGCTATATGCTTGTGAATACTATAAGAAAATACAAACTAAAAATAATAGATTTGGATGGGAGAGAGTAAAATGGTAACCAGCAAGATGTGGCTTGGGTCTAGTAACCTACAGCTGCCTCCTAAATTTCCAAAGCCACCAAACTCATTGTAATATGCAGTCGGAAAAGAGATGCTGAATCTTGTCGACATTGTGTTGTTATTAGTTGTATGTAACCCTGTAAATTCAACCATGCCTTTGCTCAGTAAAGATCTCTTGTCAGGTAGAAATGCCAAAGTGTATAAAAGGTCTCCTATTTTTCAATGCACTGTTTCCCAAAACAGAGTAGACTGCAATCCAAAATACCGCAGTATTTGAAAAAGATGGTGTTATCCTCTAAAATCAATAATCCTACAGCATGTTTCATGCAAATGCTCATTTTTGTTCAGCTCAAGCTGACTTTTTGAAAAGTCATTCAAGGAAGATGGATTAAACAGTTACTTTTTTATTTTCACATATTTAATATTGGGCTGACGTGGCATAATTTATAAAGGTCAGTGTATGCACAGGTGAAAACTATCTCTGCAACAAAGAAGAGATAACACTGAAAACACTAAATGAAAAAAAAGTTATTACAGTGAAAACTTTAAGTAAGTCACAAATGTCATAGATACAACTTTTTGTCCATGCCCATATTACACTTAATGTGAAAAAAAAAAAAATTAAAAGTCAAAAGCATCTCTGCTAAATTATGTGTTGGCATACGTATGATATGCTGATATTTGTAATGACTCAAAAAATTTGCCACTGTGTCTTTTTAATTTCTAGCAACTGTATGCTAGATAGGAATTTTTGAATACTGTGCCTATCTGATCTCTTCCTGAGAACAGGCAGGATATTTGTCCAGAAATTACCCAGGGATGGATTGCCCAGAAGTGCCAACCACTTCAGGACATTATTTCTCATCAGCCATAATCTTACAGAATTCCCAGGATTAGGATTTGGAATTGTTATTCTAGGTTAAACAGATGCTAAGCTTTAGTATTTCTGATGGTCGTAAGTTGTCTGTTTTCATTTTCAGTTCATGACAAAATAAAGGCATCTTGAATGAAACAGTCATTGCCTATAAATTAGATTCTACAACAGGATTAATTCCAGATTCCTTAACCTACCAGATTGTAGAAATTGTTTCATTCAACTTTTTTGAAAATTACAGGAAAGTTCATTACAGAACACAGCAAAATACCAGGAGAAAAGGCTATTCTTAACAAAGAAAGGAAAAGGAGGGGTACATATTCAGGGAGAATTGGTATTAATTCTTCTACACATCCAAAATTCCCATGGACCGGTGATTATATTGCATCTGTGAGGCCTGCCTTGTGTCCTAATCCCACCTGCACCCATTATTTGTTCAGAGGTCCTGGCAAATCATTTCACCAATGTATTTTTTTCCCCACAGAAGTAGCTGCATCCTTTTTAGGAGCCATAGTAAACTTGCTCTGTCTTGAATGAAACCTGCTGTTAAGTCAGAAAAATGAGGTCACTTAAATGTGAAATATTACCCTCCGGTATAAGAATTGCACCATTCCTTAGCTGATCCATAGGTATAGTGAAGATGCTAATTAAAGAAGGCAAAGCAAAAGAAAAGAACATTCAAACATTAATGAATTCTGAATTGCAGGTGAAATTATGGATGATGACACCCTAGTTCCTCGGTGCTCTTGAACAGGTAGTGCCAACGTTCTGACTGTATTAACACTCATCAACGTCCCTGGCATACTGCTAAGATTTTTTTTTTAGCAAGAAAATCAGATTAACTAATATAAGCTGAAAATAGTCTGAGTAGGATCAGTTTAGGAAGCCAAAGTCACATTCCCAGTTTAGGAACAAAAAAGATACTGGTTTACTGAGACCAATCAAGAAGCCAAAGATAAGTATCAAATAATCAATAGATTATACATTAATACAATATAAACCCAACAAAAATATCTAGGGCTGCAACATAATCACAGGAACTAATGAAATAATTGTGAATAAATCAGTCAAAATTAGAACTGGTTTTATAATTAATAAATAGAAAAATAATGTATATTCATTGCACAGTCTGCAAAAATAGTTCAATCTGCTATAATTATTACATTTACCTGCCCTGATAATACTCCGAGTAGTGCTGGGGGGCAGGTATGTCTTAGTTATTTCTACAGTGTTTTGAAGATTCCAGTTGCTACATTATTAGTATTATGTTCCCAAGCATTTATAGATTTTAAACTCAGAAGGGACCATAACGATCAAGTCTCACCTCCTGTGTAATACAGGCCGAAGAAGATCATCCAAGTAACTCATGGACCAAATCATCACTTTTAGCTAGGCTCAGCTGTATCTTTAAAGTTCTACATCAAAGTTCTAGCTTTGTTTACGGAGCTTTGCAGAGCAATGAAAAAATTCTTCTCCAAAACCCACGTCTTCTCTGAAGGTCACTTCTGGAAATCAGTGGACACTGCAAAAAGCATATGCATGTGGGCTCCTAAGGTTGTCAGTCTTAAAACCGATGCCTTAGTGGAATGCATGACTAATTTTGCTGCTTTGTTTAAGGACAAGCTATTCTTCCACTTATGAAAAATGCACTGTATGATCATGTATTTAAATTACATCTACTACATCAGAATTGTTTGGAGAAACCAATTCAGTGCATAACCTCAGCGGTCTGGAACGTCGGAACGTTTGTTTTTGTTTCTTTCTTCCCCCCCCCAATAATCTCTTTAAATCTCCTCCTTAAAACATTGACAATTTGTCTGATGTAAGTTTGAAACATGATTCCTCAACAGGGACAAAGGCTGAATTTTCTGATGAGGTTCAGTAGTTAAGTATCTAATACAGAAAAGTTAACAAAAAGAACTAAAGAAAAAAAGAAAAGATTTGATTTTTAAATACACCTCCTTCAGTATGTGACAGGATGGAATTTCATACAATATGGCTTTGTGTCTAAAACATAATAGTGTGTTTTGTCTCACAGCAGTTGGGCCATATAGGAACTTGGCATGCATGATATGGCAAGTCTCAATATTCACGCTTCACTTACTGTCACACTAATCACTGAGGAATAGTTACTAGCCATGACAGCGTACATACTTTCAGAAAATGTGGTGTACAGCAGAATACAGAGAAACCTTTGGCAATAAGTATTAAATAATATGTAGATATTGTTTTGAGAAATATTGGGAATATTTTTACAGACCTACTCTGATGACATTTGTGAAACACATCGATTTTCAACTTAATCCCAAATGCTATATACAGCCTTAGCTCAAGAAAAACAAACACCATATGAACCTGTCTCACTTTAAACATATATGAATCTGACTAGACTTGAGCAGTTGTAAATCTCATTGGATTACAAGAATTTGATTTAATTTCAGAAAACAGGCTTAAATGTCTTTCTACTGCAGAGGAAGGTCAGTATTTGGTCAAGCAGAACATGACTAAGATCACTGAAGTTTGGTTTAAGCTCTTGAGAAAAAAAAAGTTTTGGGCATGTGCAGTGAACTTCTGAACTTTGGGTGATTTGCTTTTAAATGCAATGAAGAAGGCAGCTCAAATTCACATTAATAATTAAGACAAATGGGCATTAAAACAAATGGAGATAATATGCTGCCTATATACTCCTAACAGCATGAGGTAAATACTTCCCAAAGCAAAAATCGTTTACTGTGCATATTTTCCGTGTGAAGATACGACTCTTGCAGCATATCATTAATTCATTTCTCAACTGGCATTTATAGCATGGCCTAGAGGAGTGAGGCACCTAATTCCCTTTGGAAATCTCAGCTCTGCTTCTTTATTCTAAGTAATCCCTTGCAACCTGAAGTGCTGAAAGACAAAACCACAGTTAACCCGAACAATCACACCATTTAGCAGAGTTTAAAGTTTAATGGCAAGAAGAGAATAAACAAAAAAAATTCACATCTTGGTGCAAATCAGACAGGCCATACGGTAACCCTCGCAGCTCGTTTTGCAGAGGACACCGTGCTCCCCTCAACAACAGGGCTTTCTTACAGTCCCTGTGGTATCTCACCTACTATCGCACTGCCACGAGGGCTGTATTCCCCATTTTCACCCAGTATGCTTGAGGATGGCAGTCTTTCCCCCTTGTCCCAGGATTTAGGCCTCTCCTGAGTTCTGACACAAAACTGTGCCAACTCTGTATATTGTAGTTAATGTTTTCTTTGCAAATTCATTATCTTCTGACCAGCTGATATGGACATGCCCTCATGTGCCTTGATAGTTTGCACCTCTGAATATGCGCGCAACCCGACTAGCAGCAGCTACGCAGCGCACAAATCGGAGCAGGGCCT